TTGGTTAACAGTTAACAGTATTTCTCACCAAGTATTTCTACCTGGTTAGAAATACAAGGAAAAATGTCTTCCAATTATATCAAATGCTTTTTAAATGATAACTCTGTTATATTTTCCAAAATGCTAAAAGTCATAATTTTAAAATCTTCACTGAAAATTATTTCTTTTCTCAATATAAACAAGTAGCTTTTCCAATTTGATTCTTTTTTGCCTTCTATTTTACTTTTTCTGATTTGGAGGGAGCTCTCACTTGCGTAGTATTTTTGCCCATCCCTTTGTCATTTATCTGTAAGTTTTAGGTATACCATATATAAATGGCAAATAGATTTTATAGAGGAATTATTCTCATGTATTCAACTATTTATTGAATGTCTATTACTTGCCGGACATCTTTAATTCATTCAGAAATGTTGTGATAACAGATCTGTTTGGTGGGCTCTGAGTGATTTTTTTTAAAAAATATAAATCTTAAAAAACCTCAACCATCTTAAAAATTCCCCTCTGGTTCCTCAATGTCTGAGCAATCAAGTCCATTCCATGTCCATGCTATGAAAGGCTCTTTGTGACCTGTTCTGTTTTCTTTTCAGTCTTATCTTCTTTTATTCTCCAACCTGCTATCCTAAATTCCACTTCAGCCCCATCTACATGCAGTTCTCCAAACTTACCATGCCTTTCACAAAATTCTGTTCTCTGTACTTGAAATTCTTCCCCTGCTTCTATTCATCCTTCAGTGTCCAGTTCAAAGACCCAGGGCCTTCATTAACACTACCCCCACATCACTGCTGGGTCCCTCTTCTGACTTCTATTTTCAATTGCCTACAAAATACTCCACTTGAATATCCCACAGACTTCTCAGATTCCATATGCCTCAAGCTGAAAATCATCTCCCCCAAACCAGCTTATTCTCCCCTTGGTCCCTACGTCAGTAAACGGCACTAACCCTTATCCTTCCTCTTGCTATGTTGGAATCCCAAGCACCACACATGGCTCGTAACTTCTTAATTTCCACCAGGTCCTGCTAAATCTATCCATGAATTTCTCTCTAGTTCATCCAGATGAACTATCCCTACTGCCTCTACCTAGTCAGGCCACCAATATATCTAATCTGGATTATTGAAACCATTTCCTACTTACTTTCCTATGCTTCCAGTCTTAATTCCCCCTGCAATCCATGCTCCTCAATGCTCCTAGAATATATCTGTCTAAACACAATTCTGAACACGTTATTCCCCTGCTTTAAAATTTTAGCAGGTAAGGATAGGGATGGGTAACTCTGAGTACACAAGAACTCTCCGCACCATGTACTTAAGACAAATTCGAAACTCCTTACTGGGCCTTCTAAAGTGCTGCAAGCATAATCCTTCCCAGGCCCATCTCCTGTTCTTGTCTATCATATCCTAGGTGTGCTCAACTCTTCCGGTTCCCCTATTGCTCGGTGCTCTTTGCAAATGCTACTCCCTCTGCCCCTCTGCCTGGAATACTCTTCTTTCTACCTGGCTAACTCCTGCTCGTTCTTCAGAACACAACCAAGACACACTTCTGTTTCAAATGATTCTCTAAATCCCAAAGTCGGGACCAGATCTTGCTTCTATGGGATGCCACTGCACACCCCACAGATTTGGCCACGTTGAGCCAAACAAGGTTAACTGCTTGTTTATTTGTCCACTTCTCTTAATAGTATGTAAACTCCAAATATGGCAGTGACTATGTCTTTCTACTATTTGTCTTTCTTTCCCTATTTGTTTAATTTGTAGGCAAAACATACACGAAAAACTGGGCTAGATTCGGAGAGGAGTGAAAATTGGTGGAAGAAATGAAGCAGGGCCTGGTTGGCACCCCCATAGTAGAGGCCTCTCCGCATCCCTGGCCTCATCTTTCCTTGACCTATCTATAGCTTAACAATAGATCATCCTCCTGTGGTTTGAGCTCGGAATGTCCCCTGTCCAATCCAGTTCCGTTTTAGAAAATTACCGTGAAACTTATGATTAATACCCTCAGGCTTATTGATCACAATCTCTTATGTTCTAGCATTCTTTCCAGGCTAATCCCATCATTGTTCCTGGGTTCCTGACTCCACCAGAGAATCACACGTGGCCAGAGGGAAGGCTCCATGCAGACTATCACGTAGCCTCTGGAGGAATGCCCAGGTTTTCCCTGAAATACCGCAAGCTGGACTGAGAATGTTAAGGTAGTTTTTGGAGGTGTTAACCTGCTGCCTTCTCAGACCACCCAGTGCTCTGATAATAAATGCTTATTCTGTGACGCAACTCCTGTGTCGATCTATTGGCATATATCTATTAAGATATGCAGATAACCTGGCAGAAAGTAGTAATGATTTGAAACAACTTTCTGATAAAAGTGAAAGAAAAAAGTGCCAAAGCAGGACTGAATTTGAAGATCAAGAAAATAAAAATTACGACCACAGAATATACAACTTTGGCACTGACAATGAAGACACTGAAATTGGTAAAGATTTTGCTTACCTTGGTTCAGTCATCAATTCAAATGGAGACTACAGCCAGGAAATCAAGAGAAGGCTGAGACTTGGAAGGGCAGCAATGGAAGAATCAGGAAAGATCACCAAGAGCAAAGATGTGTCATTAGAGACCAAGGCTAAGGTCACCCACACCCTGTATTCCCAATTACTATGTAGGGATGTGAAAGTTGGACAGTGAAGAAGACTGACAGGAAAAAGAAAAACGGATTCATTTGAAATATGGCGCTGGAGGAGAGCTCTAAGGACTCCGGACCACCAGAAAGATGAAATCGTGGGTCCAAGAGCAAAGTAAGCCTGAAACATCGCTGGAGGCAAAAATGACAAAACTGAAGCTGCCCTACTTCGGGTACACCATGAAAAGGCAGGGTTCTTTGTCACAGGTTCCTCTGAGAATCTGATAAAAACTAAGGATCATCTTCCAGAAAAATGAACGTAAATGTACTTTTATATGATTTCTATGGGGCCGGCCGAGTGGCTCGGTTGGTTAAAAGAGCAAGCTCTGAGCCACAGGGCCGCTGGTTCGATTCCCACATGGGCCAGTGAGCTGCGCCCGAGCTGATCTGCCATTGAGCTGCCAACAGGTGGCGGGATGGCTCAGCTGGTGAGAGCAAGTGCTCCTAACAACAAGGTTTCCGGTTCGCCTCCAGCATGAGATGGTGGCTACGCCCACCTGCGACTAAGATTGAACACAGCACCTTGAGCAGAGCAGCAAGCTGCCGACGGCAGCCAGATGGCGACTGGACTTGGAGCTGAGCTAGCTGCGCCCTCCACAACTCAGGTGGAAGGACAACAACTTGGCTGGTCCCCTTTCCTAATTCCCCAATAAAATCTTAAAAAATAAAAATAAAAATTTTATATGATTTCTAGAGTATTTTGGTCCTCAGGTTAAGTCCTGTCCCAGGGCCTCTATTTCTAAAGCCATAAGGAGACTGCTAGGAGGAAGGAAGAGGTCTCCCCTGTGATCTTATTATTCCTTACCTTCCCTCTTCTCCGCAAATCCTGCTCCTCCTCCTCCCCAAAGTTAAATCACCCCACCTTTCCCCAGGCAGGCTTGGTATCAAACATTTCCTTCTCAAGGGTACATCACACACATCAGTTATTCCCATACCATTATCATAATCTTGCCATTTCCTGAAGCACTCATACTATTCTTTTATTTATTTATTTATTTATTTATTTATTTATTTATTTATCAATGACAGTTGACATTCAATATCATATTAGCTTCAAGTGTACAGCATAGTGGTTACACATTTATATAATTTACAAAGTGATCCCCCCATAAGTCTAGTACCTCCATGGCACTATACAGTTATTACAATTTATTGACTATATTCTGTATGCTGTACTTTACATCCCCATGACTATTCTGTAACACCAATTTGTAATTCTTAATTCCTTCACATTTTCACTCTGCCCCAACCCCCCTCCCATCTAGTAACCATCAGTCTGCTCTTTGTATCTATGAGTCTGTTTTGATTGTTCATTTATTTTGCTCTTTAGCGTCCACATATAAGTGAGATCATATAGTATTTATCTTTCTCTGTCTGACTTACTTCACTTAGCATAATATCCTCTAGGTCCATCTATGTTGTCATAAATGGTAAAATTTCATTATTTTTATGGCTGAGTAATATGCCAGTGTGTGTGTGTGTGTGTGTGTGTGTGTGTGTGTGTGTACATGTATATACAGAGTCAAACAATTAAGTTCGTGAACTTTCCACTGTGCGCTTATACAGTGGAAAGTTCACGAACTTAATTGTCCATGTATCTTTTTGAATTAGTTTTTTGGATTTTTTTCGGATAAATACCCAGAAGTGAAATTGCTGGGCTATAAGGTAGTTCTATTTTTAATTTTTGTGGAACCTGCATACTGTTTTATTTTCTTAATTGGGGGGTGCATGGGAATCAAACCATTTTATTGAGGGCCTTTGGGGAAGGGTTGAAGAGCTAGGAAGACAATGAGATCCACTATCGTTGGCCCAGCTGGGATATCTCCAGCTTCATAGTCACCAAAAGCTTATTTTCTTAATTTCTAAAAATCAACTTTTTAATTTAAATGTAGTAAAATCCTAATTAATAATATCGGTGAAATCACAGTTTTGATATCATGGTTATTATTTTCCTACCTCACATCAAAATAACCAATACACTTGAAAAAAGGACTTTAGACCCTCACCAGCCACCACATCTTAGAGGACAACCCTAAGGTTTCTGCAGTTCCTTTGGGATCTCTGGGTGAGCAATAATTTGGACACTGAGAGGGTTTTTTTAAGCCAAGGAAACTTAAAAACATTTGGTCCAATCCTCTCATTTCGTAGAATCAAAAGCTGAAACCCAGGACAGGTTAAAAGATTTGCCCAAGGTCAGATGAGACGTTTAATGACATGTCTAGGATCAGTATTCAGGTCTACTGTCAGTCCAGCACCCTTTCCACTACACTGTATCCATTCAGATTACACTAGAATAATACAGTATCAAGAATTCTTCATCTGTTACCTACCTCACTCTTCCATTCAGATTTATCTGAATATGCTGCTTAAAATCTGGATATTTGGATGCCAGATATGCAAAGTCAGGAGGTTTGTCCTTGTATCTATTTCTTGCATGCATTGATTTACTCAGAGCCATCTTTAAAAAGAAAAAAAAAATCCGGCATTTTAAGTTTAAAAAAAAACATTAATGGGGAAAAGCTGTGGTTTTCAAGTCAACAGTTACAGCCAACACATCCTTGCCAATCAAGTGAGAAAATAGAAGTTATATTTTTAAAATGTATACAACAAATAAGCATATGAAAAGATGCTCACCATCATTTGCCATTGGAGAAATGTAAATCAAAACCACAGTAAGATATCACTTCTACCCATTAGGATGGCTATTATTTAAAATTTTTTTAAAGAAAATAACAAGTGTTAGAGAGCATATGAAGAAACCGGAGCCCTTGTGCAATACAGGTAGAAATGTGTAATGGTACTACCACTGTGGAAAACAGTTTTAGTGGTCCTTGAAAAAGTTAAAACATAGAATTACCATATGATCCAGCATTTTCACTAAGTACTGGAAGAACTGAAAGCAGGGATTCAAACAGATACTTGCATACCAATGTTCATAGCATCACTATTCACAAGAGCCAAACGGTGGAAACAACCCTAAGTATCCATAAACAGATGAATAGATAAACAGAATGTGGTATACACATACAATGGAATATTGTTCAGCCATAAAAAGAAATAAACTGATACATGCTACAACATGGACAAACCTTAAAAACACACCATGGGAAATAAGCCTCACACAAAAGGAATATTGTATTGTCCCACTTATATGAGGTACCAAGACTAGGCAAAGTCATCCAGATAGTAGAATAGAGGTTACTAGGGGTTGGGAGGAGGGAACAATGATGAGTTATTCTTTAATGGGTACATAGTTTCTGTTTAGGATAAAACACTTCTAGAAATAGTGGTGATGGTTGTACAACATTGTGAATATACTTAATATCATTGAATGGTACACTTAAAAATGGTTAAAATGATAAATTTTATGTTATGTGTATTTTACCACAGTAAAAAAAAAATGTACATAATACATGATGATTTTTTTTTTTTAACCAACGGAAGAAAACTGGGAAGTATTCCTTTAAAAGTACCAAAGTAGCTGAAGGTGTAGCCAAGAATCTTATAATCTACAGCTAAGAATATTATAATCAGAGGTTAGTTTTTACAGTGGCCTTGCATGGATTGAATATTTGGTAGTATACCATAAAATCACTAAGTTTTCAAAAAATATCTTCTATTCCAATTTCCTTTATAAATCTGTTTTGTCATTCCTAAGTGGCTTAAACCAAATGAAAACAAACTTAATTTTGTCTTCTTCCAGATTACAAAGAAGAAAAAAGTTAATGCATTTATAGAAATAAAAACTAGAAGACAAGCCACTGTAGTGGTTTAGTAAATCTTTAAGTCGTTGGTAATTTTTTTTTAAATTTTTTATTTCTAGGGATGGGGTAGGGTTAGGGGTTAGGGGCTAGGGTTAGGTTTAGGGACAAGGATTAGGGGTTAAGGTTAGGTTTAGGTTCTAAGTCGTTGGTAATTTAAAAATATTTTAGTGTACTATATATCTCTGGGTGGTAGGTGATTTTTATTTTATTCTGTATACCATTCTGCATTTTCCACTTTTTTAATAATGAGCATTCATCTAAATAGCAGTAAGTCAGAAACCTAGGGGTCACCTGATCGTTCTCTTTCCCTCTCATATCCCAAGAAGTCAACAGTCATGTGGACTTAATCTGCTAAATCCCTCTCAAATCCATCTATTTTTCCCTATCTCCACTAATGTAAGCCCAGTACAAGATACCTAGACTACCACAACAGCCTCTCAATTGGTCTCCCTGAATCCCTTTTATTCTCTCCACTTCTTTTTCCACCTTGCAGTGATCATTTTTAAACACAAATCTCATTGTGTCCTCCGCCTTATGCCCACTTGCTCAAAACCTCACTCATAGGATAAAAACAAAAACCTTTCTTCAGCATACATACATATAAGGCCCAGCATGGTGTGGGCTCACCTATTTCTTCACCATCAGCTTAAGTCACACCCCTCTAGCTCATTTTTCTGTCCTTCCAATCTGGCAATAGGATCTTTACACATGTTACTCCTTTTGTCTATATAATGTTCTTTCCTCCCTCTCTTCACCTGAGGCATTCCTGCTCATCCTTACTACCACAGTTCAAGCATCTCTTCTTCAGGAAGGTCTTTCCTTCCCTAATCTCCCCGGTTGAGACACATCCCCTATTATAGTTTCCTAGCAACAAGCACCTTTCCTTCGCAGGCTTTGTTAAAAATGTAACCTTACATAGTAATAAATAGTAATAAATCTCTTAACAGTCTATTTCAGAAGGTTCTTTTTGACAGCTTTCGGCACTGGAAATTTAACAACCATTTTCAAAAAAGAATTGTTGTCTTCACCCCAGATCTTTCCAAATCATATATCCAACTGCCCACCAGACTTCTCACTTGAATGGCTCAAAAGTACTTCATCCACAACATGTCTAAAATTAAATAATTTCTACCCACCCCAAAATGGTCCTCTATGAATCTTCCCTATTTCACTGAGTGACACCACTATCTTTCTATGGCACACAACCCAAACTCTTGAGCATCTTCTCCACTCCACCTTCCCCATTCCAGACACACCCTGTCCTAAATATTCTCTATCTCCTAATTATTTCTTGACTCTATCTACTTTTTACCCTTCACAACTCCCCCCCCGCCCCGATTATTATCATCTCTTTCTTGGGTTACTATAATAGCCTCTAACTGATCTCTATAACCACTCTTACTACTGGCAATCCACTTTTCACCCAGCAGACAAATCTTCCCTCCCCCATCACACGCAAATTTGAACATTCCTAGTTAAATCCCTTCAGTGGCTTCCTAAAGCTATTAGGTTGATAAAGTCCAAAATTATTGTCAAGGCAAACATAATCTAGACCCTGCCCATCCCTCTAAATTCATTTGTTGCCATTTTTCCCTCCTTGCACTGTTCCAGACATACAGGTCTTCTCTCATTCTCTGTTGCATCATGGTTGGCCCCACCATCACACTGTGAAAGCCCTTCATATCATTCCCTAGCATCCTTTTCTCTGGTAGGCTTTCTCTGACACCACATATTCAATTAGATGCCCACTCTATATGCTCTCAAAGCTTTCTGTACTTTCCCCTCAGACACCTTTGGTTTACATTTGTCACACACACACACCAGGCTGCAACCATGTCCATCTTATTCTTCACTGTACCCCCCAGCAACTGGAATACAATAAATATTTGTTGAGTTAATGGATAATTCAGAATTTGGGGGAATTAATAGTCACTTGGAAGTTGTTCAGCACATTACTACCTTTTGGCCCTCACATTATTGCAGAAACTCACTACATATAAGTTTTAATTTCCTAACATTAACGTACCGTTTACAGACCATCAGGAAAGAAGTGAGCATAAAACCAGGACAGGTCCCAATCCCCAAGAAAAAGTTGAAAAGGAAAATGCTTTCCTTTCCTGTGATTCTGGCAAGCAACAAAAAGAAAGAAAGGTACTCTAACAGTAATTTCAAGGGATACTGGTATGTTAGGGCTCTGCAACATACTAAAATTTGAAAGACAACATAGCTGACATCAATGCACATACATCAACACTCTAAATATACGCAGAACAAACTAAATTACAGATATGTGTCAACAAAAGCAAATCCAAACCTACAGAAAAGTTTTATAAGAGTTTATTTGAGCCAAGTTTTTTGAGGACATGCCCGGAAGCAAGATCTCAATGGATTGAACAAATGGTCTGGAGAATGGCAGTTTTGCAGTTCCTTATCTGCATTTAGAATCAAAGGAGAAAACATAAGGAAGGTACATGAAGTCCACTGGTGGTAGATTAAGGAGGCAGAAGAAAGCAGAGCAGGGAAATCTCTAGGATTGGATAAAAAGCAAAATGGAGAGACACATACTTCTTTTACATTGGTGGGTACAGGATAGTTAATAATTAACATTTACAGTACAGAGATGGCATTTGGGGAACAAGATAACAATGAGGGATTCTGTGGTCTCATGCTATGGTGCCTACGGTTGTGCCTTTGAGGTGTCTAGAAAAGAATATTACTCTGAGATTTCAAAGTATGTTATCTTAAATGCGTAAGAGCAATGGACAGGGCTCGCTTAAAAGGTAAAGACTGACCTTTGCTAAGAAAGCTATAGGCCTGGTACGTGACTACCCGCTATGACCTGTCCCATTGGAATTTGTGATCAGACTATCCTGTATGGTTATTTTCCGTCACTGAGCTTGTCAGGCCTGCCAACGCGGCCCCTCCTGAGCTTGTCAGGTTTATTACATACACCCTTTTTCATTCACATATGGCAGATTCAGTTCATTTCCTACATTACTCAACCTTTCTGGTCAGAACAGATAAAATGTGTCAATAAAGCCAGTTCTTTGCGAACCAAGCTCCTAATGTAGGTAATGGGTTTTTAAATCTATCCCATTCCTCAGAATTTAACTGTGTGTCAACTCTTACCTGTCATCAGCATTGTCACTTCCTTCTTGCTAACCCAATTTACTTTTCTCTTCCTTGCATATTCCGCTCTAGCTACACGGACCTCCTTGTTATTTCTCTTGTCAATTCTGGTATACTCCTGTCTCAGGACTTTTGTAATTGATGTCTGGTCTGCATAGACTGCTCTTCCCCTAGAAATACACACATATAAGGTACCCTGGCCTTGTTCAGGTCTCTGAATCAAATGTCACCTTCTCATTGATGCCTTTCCTGAGTACCTATACTTTAAAATGCAATGACTGAACACACTTCATGTTTCCCTTACTAGCTTAAGTCTTCTACATAGAACTTACTCATTTGACATTCCATATATTTTACTTTTTTTAAAAAATTTTCCTGCCAGTAAGCTTCATGAGGGAAAATATTTTGTCTATTTGTTCACTGTGATTTTTCAGCACCTAAATTAGGTCCTGTAGGCACTCAAGAAGTATTTGTTGACAGAAAGCACGATGGAGTTCTTTTCACTATCCAGGCCACTGAAACACAGCACCCTCATTCTTGGTGAACAGTCCCCTCTTGATTTCCAAAGAGGCTCAGCCCGAGGGTTGGGACTTTTTTTTTTTTTTCTGGTTACCCGAGTCAGTCCAAAAAGCCAAAACAGTAGAACCTTGAAGCTACTGTTACCTTGGTTTCTCTTGACATTTAAATAATCCTCTTCAATTACCACTTACCTTAACACAACATATTCTAAATTCCGCTTTCAGAACTTCGAATTCCTTCTGCACAGATTTCTCCCATTTCAATCCCAATCTCTGTTTTTTTTTTGTTTGCTTGTTTGATTGTTTTTCTATCATTCCCTTGCCTCATAAATCCTACTTTTTCTTCCAGCGCCGCCAATGCCAGTTTTCCATCTGTTCCACTACTTCCACACATTCCTCTTACCTACTCAGTTTGTCTTCCGGCCTCAATTTCTGACCCCTCTAAACCTCCTCAGCCCTGGGGGGTCTTTCCTACTTCAAGCCTAGTCTCCATTATATTCGCCAACTCCTCCTACCCACCCTACCATCACTCCCGCGCGCGCGCGCGCGCGCGCACACACACACCCACACACCCACACACACATCGGGTGTCTCTCTGTAGACCCCGAAGTCATCACTCCCCGCTCACACACACACACACACACACACACACACAACACACATCGGGTGTCTCTCTATAGACCCCGAAGTCAGCACCTCATGGGCCCAGAACCCGAGAATGAGGAAACTGGGTGATACATGCGTTAAGTGAACTCGCAACCCACATGAAAAATATTAAGGGACTCACCTCTGAGGTCCAAGTTCCCGCCTGACGACCAGTCTGGAGTGGGCCTCTAAACCCAGTGTCTTAAGCCAACCTCGGTGCTAAGCTCCTAGAAACGCAAATGTTACGCTCCCAGCGCGCCGCCATCTTCGGCAGCCATCCAGCCTTGTGATTGGACGAGTAACTCTCGCGCGATCTGTACAGATTCTGAAGAAAGAAGAACCTGTCGCGAGACTGGAGTTTGCGGCTCCTTCTGACAGAGGGAGTTGGCTTGGTAGCAAGCAGAGTCCTTTTCGTGAAGGCACTTGTATTAGCATCTGCTAGGTAACTTGTTTTTTTTTTTTTTAATGTAGATTTTTAAAAAGGTAGCTTTCTGGGCCCCACTCCACACTTACTAAATCACAGTCTCTAGGATTGGGCGGAAATTTTGAGGATGGTGTGGGACCGGGGAGAGAGGGCTTTTGGATTTGATGGCGGGCATTTAATGTTTATTGTGCAACAGGTCTCTCTTCATGCTATGTGTCATTGAAACATCACAGATAAACTGTGAGGTGAGAAAGAGTAGTCTCATTTACAGAGGAAGAACTGGGGATCAGAAATATTAAGTCGTTTGTTCAAGATCTTACACCCAGATGACATCAAATCTATGATTTTTGTATTTCCTCACTTGCCTCTTGAGCTGGAAGCGCTATTAAATGTGCTTCATTTTTCTTTTCAACTCGGTTATACTAATTTTTACCCCTTGGTAAGTAGAGTGACCATTAATCTCCCCATTTACAACTGAGAGAAACAGGTAAATTACTTTCAAAATATATACAGTTAGTAACAAAACTAGGGCTAAAGTCTGAGCCTGTGGACCCCCACCTAGTACCTCTTTCCATTAAAAAAAGAAAGAAAGAGAGAAAAGAAACTTGCCTAGGTCCTAGTAATTAATGTGAGAACTTCTGGCCAACTATTGCCATAAAATTGAGAGATAGGTACTAAGGAATGGAGACTTCAGCTTTATGAAGAACTGAGTTTACCAGCAGGTGCCCAGCGCCTAAGGAAAAGGAGGTGTTTTTTTCATTATCTATTGTGTAACAAACCACCCCACAATGTATAGTTTAAAACACGCCAGTCTGGGATGGGATTAGCCCCCCACCCCCACCCCCACTGTCCCCACGGCGCCGTTCTCTGTGTTTGCTATTGGTGGTAACATCAACTGGGGGCTGGTTCAGCTGGAATGACTTGGCCACTCTCTCCATGTAGACTCAGACACTCTCCTCCATGTGGTCTTTCCACATAATCTCTTGAGCAGAGTAGCCATGCTTGTTACATGGTGGCTCAGGGCTCCCAAAAAGGCAAAAGTGGAAGCTGCTAGGCCTTTTTAAGGCTTAGGTGCAGAACTGGTGTTTTCACCACATTCTGTTTATTAAAGCAAGTCGAAGGGTCAGCCCAGAATCAAAAAGAGGGGACTATGCTAGGGTACCCTCCAGTACTAGAAGGTATGGTTCACTGGGTCTACCATTGTGGATGAACAGCACAGAAAGCGTTCTGTCTTTAGTTGGTAGTGACTTTGGTACTGGTTATTTTTACAGCATTTGGTGCTTTCTAATGGAAAGGTAAAAGAGAAAATGGCCTTGTGGGCATGACTAGTAGGGTTGAATGTGGACTGTATTTAAAATGTTGGTGAATTTCTCTGTCAGCTCCGAACAGATCCAACTCCCCTTTGGGTTGAACCAGAGAAACCCTAACTCTGCAGCCAGGGAACCTGGTCTTTAATCCTAACCCTACCACTTACTAACCCTGTGATTATGAAGTTTATTTAAACTATTCAAGCCTCGGTTTGCTCAATGTTGCAAAACTGGATAGCTATCTCATAAAGTTGTGGTGAGAATTAAATCAGGTAATGCATGTACAACACTTAGCATAGTTTCTGATTCATAGTAAGCTATTATTATTATTATTATTATTATTATTATTATTATTATTATTACTAGTATAATTCCTTGTAACTTCTCTGGTCACTTTCCATTTTTGAAAAATTATTTCATAAAGATAAAACATCTCCCATCTTAACAAAAATAAAAAATAAATAAAAATACAGATAAAACATGTTCATTATAGTAAAGTTGTAAAAAAAAAATTAAGTAATTCAGGAAAGTATGAAAAGAATAAAAAATTATCTAAAATCTCACCACCTAGTCAATCACCATCAAATTTTGGTAACCTTACTTCTAGACTTCTAGATATTCATAAGGATATAGTACTAAATAGTTTTTATAGAAATATTTTATATATTTTTACTCAAATATAAGTCTTGGAGGCTCTACTTCAGTTAATATAGTTCTATATAATCTTTTGTGATGGATGCATAGTATTCCATTGTATGGATGTGCCACAATTTTTAAACTAATTTCCCTACAGGTGGACATAGGTTGGTCTGCCCCTAAAATTGTGGTACAATGATAAATACATCTTCTTTAATTTTTTTTTTAAGATCTGCATGGATTTATTCTAGGTACTAGAAAAGGGGCTAACAATATGCTCCCCCCAATATAAAATATGCCAGAAAAATTATCAGAGAAAAGCACCACACCCATTGGACTATTTTCTATATCACATCAATGTGCTTTGCCTCCAAATTTCTTAACTATTTTAAGCCACATGGCTTAATCTGTTTCCGAATATGGGCTATGGTCCATCTATTTTGAAGTTCCATAGTCTTTAAAAAAAAAATGTAGATGGCATTTTAGAACTGAGAAGTACCTAAAATTCATTAAGGATCAACCATTAGTTTATATTTTTCCTTTAGTTTAAATTAATATTTAGAGTTCAGCTTTAAGGTAATATTATCGCAAAATGGCCCAACTAGCTTCTTTGCTTTACCTAAGTTTTCAAAACACTTTGAGCTAAGAATTTTTTTCATCCAAGTATCATACATAGGATTAAAAACTAAAACTGAAGAAGCTTAAAATGAAAAAATAAATACACCCCCATCCTATACCCCACTTGAACTCCATGTCCTTTTCTCCAAAGTATTTCTTAGCTACTTTCTGGTTGTGCTAATTTATTTTGAAAATTACATTTGTTCACTTCAGATTTATACTTGATATTCCTTGTTGGGTTTCTTTAAGTCATATTGCTGCCCTCTCAAGTTTCCCAGCTGTTTTGTGTGTCTGCCTTGTGCTTCTGATTTTCCTGTGGCTTTGTTGGTCAGATCCACAGAGGCAAATACAAGTGTTTTTCCTTGCTTCAGAATCTGTGCTGTAATCACTATATCTTTCTCCTATTTTAGCAGGAGAAATGTACGTTGTTTTCATACTGACACTGACGCCAGGTGCTCCCCTTTCTGTGCAGATCAGAGCCATTGTTGATATGCTATCCGCTAAGGTGGCTATCAACCTCCCATGGAGAGTGTCAGCTTGTTGGTATGCTCCTCTTCTACTTTCAGTTTACAAAACACTTTCCCAGGAGCAGCAGAGACAAGAGTCACCCGCTCCACAGCCACACCTATCGCCCTCATAGGGTGGAGCGTATTTCCCCACTGGGCAGTTGATGTGGGAGTACTGAGGCAGCCTTTAGTTTGTTGTTTTTTTTTCTACATAAAATGAAAATTGTCTAGAGACTCCACAAGATAGATTAATAAGAGATTCAACATCTGGCAGTTGGCAGGCTGGTTAAACGGCAGTTGAACTACTGCCAGTGGGCCAAATCTGGCCACACCTATTTATTTATATGTTGTTTATGGCCGTTATCACAATACAACAGCAGAGGTGAGTAGTGGCAAAAGAGACCATATAGCCCACAAAGCTGAAAATATTTACTATCTAGCCCTTTACAGAAAAAGTTTGCCAATCTCCCGGTCTAGGGAACCTAATCTGTATGTCTGCTTCACATTATTTCTCACCCTCAAGTAGGATAGTCTGGGTTTATTCACATGGCAGCAACATTCCAAGAAAGCTATAAGGTAAACTACAATATCTCTTAAGGCCTGTGCCAACCCAAATACAAGGAGTGGGGATGTGGACTTCACCCCTGGGAGGAAGGAACAGCAAAGAATCTGGTCAATTGTAGCCCACCATAGCGAGTATAAATTGCCTTTTTGAAGGCTCATGTAGCTACATATATAAATTCAAAATTGCCAATCCTATAATATTTGTGAAAGGAAAAAACTGATGACAGTGATTGCTTCTGGAGTGAAGACCTGATGATTGGGAAGCGGGAGTATGAAGACTTGCTTTTCAATATAATTGATGTAGTAACTTGAATTTTGTACTAAGGATATATTGAAAAGTAAATAAATGTGTATATATTCTCCTAAACAGCAATTCCACTTTTAAGTTATATCCCAGAGAAATGCATATTTACAGTGATGTTGAGGTAGGTACACTGATGTTCATTGTCACATTGTTTATAAAGAGGAAAAAAGGGAACAATGTAAATATCCCTCAGTAGGGGAGTGAGTAAACAAATTACGATACATTATTATGGAATGCTATATAGCTGTTAAAAATAAATAAATCTATATCTACTGACATGGAAAATCTCCAAGATACAGAATAAGGTAAAAGGAAACTGTGAAACAGTGGGTTTAGTTTGATACCATTTATATAAAGCAAAAACAAAATACCTATTTCAATATAAAAAATATAAACATATAAAAGTAGCTATAGGAAAAGATCTGAAAAGGAAAACCCTAAACTGATAAGTGGTTACTTTGGGGAAACTGAATTGGAATGTTAGAGGTAGGGCATGAAAGTTTTAATTTTTTCTGTATCATTTAAGTGTTTTAAAATGACAATGAATTAATATACATTTATATAATTTGAAAATAGATTTAAAATAATAAAAATAAAAAAGGAAGATTAAATCAGGTTTGTCAAGAAACCACAGCCTGGGCTGGCCAAGTGGCGCATTGGTTAAGAGCTGGCTTGGGACGCCAGAGGGCCCAGGTTCGGATCCTACATATGAGGGCCAGTGACACTGCCCTCTACAGCTAAGATGCTGAACAACAGCTCAACCTGGAG